ATGAAAAATTAGTTAAATTTGCATTAAAAGATGCAAATGAAAACGAACTATTAAAATTCCTAATGCGTTCGAAAAAATTTTTTGATTTCGGATGAGTTCCCAAAAATAAAGATTTTAATAATTCAGGAAATTCTGGATGAGGTTCTAAGACAACTTCTCCATGACGACAGCAGTCATTGAAAGAATTATGTTTATTAGCTACTTTTTCGGCAACAAAATGTTTCGCATTACAATGACGACACCTTACATTCATTTGACCTATGTAATGTTCTTGTATATTATCATCAATACCGTCATTGTTATTCATTTGCCGTGGATGGGCATTTTCGTTGATATTTTCAGTTGTCGGATCGTTGATATTTTCAGTTGTCGGAGTCGTATCGTCAAAATATTCATTTGGCATGCTATAATTATGATCAAAATGATATTGTGCTGACGTTGATTCCGGACATGACCTTTTATAATAATCATGGTCAGTGGTAGAATATTGATTTGAAAAATCGTCAGAAGGTAAAGGTGATGAATTTGTAACCGTAAAAGACATACGAGCTGTATTACAATTTGAAATTGAGGAAGAACAGTAATCATGGTCAACATTTTGAAAGTGATATTCGGTGATTGTAGGTAGTGGCAAATTAACCTGTGTATAAGGACTTTTTGTATTAGAGATTCCGATGGTAATGGAACATCGTGAATAAAAACATTATTTTGAGGGTCATTTTCTATAAATCTAATTGAAGATGATGAGTTATTAGATGTTCCCGGATTATTTATTAAATTGTTTGCGAAATCGTAAGAAGTTGGACTTAAAGGACGGTTTACAGTTTCAAACGTTCTTACATTAGCATTCAGTATATCGATATCAATATTTGTTGACGTAGGATCATCTGAAAATGGAACATTAATAATGTGTTGATTTTGTAACTGAATGTTTGCAACTCTTCGATGACGTATTCTTTCTCTTTCTCGTTTACACTGTTTTTTTTTTATACACTCTTCTTCAGCTGCTGTACGCATAATTTTTCTGCGACCCATTGCTATTCGAGAATTAACAATGAAAATGGAAAAGGTGCTTATTGACGTCTGTGTTGACATAAAATGTCAGTTGTATATTAAATTAATACCCATAAGAAAATGTGGCAAAAAGTTTGTTTTCTTAATTTTTATTTATAGAATCATATAACAATACAATGCTTACAAAAAATAATTATTAAAATACCGTTGAAAACCAAATGACTGAAAATTGAATTTATTAAAGTTCTACGTCAAGAAAAACAGTATCAAGAAGACACGATTTACATATTAAATACTTAATTAACAATAGAAAAGTTAAAAATTTTTTATTCAAAAATAAAAACTTCAAAACTTATGTAAAATTAATTTAAAAACTGATTTATTACTATCATCTTTACACAACAATTTAATAGATAATGTTCAATTATTGATTTTATACAGTCTATATTTTATTTTATTTTGTCCAAAATGTTTAATTAATTATAAGATTGCTTGCTTGCTTTTATTTTTGTCAATTCGTTAGTAATTTATTTTTGTTTACTATTGAACAATTAATTAATTGTTCAATAGTATGATTTCTTTCCTTTGGTTATTGTTTAATTTTTTTTTTAGTTTTGGATTGATTTTAGTTATTGAACAATTAATTAATTGTTCAATAGTATGGTTTTTTCCTTTGGTTATAGTTTAATTTTTTTTTTAGTTTCGGTTTTATTTTAGTTATTGACCAATTAATTAATTGTTCAATAGTATGATTTCTTTCCTTTGGTTATAGTTTAACTTTTTTTTTAGTTTTGGTTTTATTTTAGTTATTGAACAATTAATTAATTGTTCAATAGTATGGTTTTTTTCCTTTGGTTATAGTTTAATTTTTTTTTAGTTTTGTTTTTATATTAGTTATGGTTATGGTTATGGTTACGGTTATAGTTATGGTTTGGTTATGGTTTTGATATTGCTTTGTTTTTTTAGATTAAAATTTAATTTCAGGTAATGTAGTTGATTCGACTTTTTTCTTTTGATTGCGATTTTCGATTCCAATTTATACGGTTTTCCTTCCGTGACGCTATGTATGTATGGTTTGGATAGCTGAACCTAAAACAAAAAAAATTAAATAAATGTAATAAAAATAGTAAAAATAGAAAGTATAAATTGAAGAGAACTTTTTTTAATAATATTATTATTTACCTTGAGGTTTCTGTTGACCTAATTTTTCTTCACATATAGTAATTTAAGACTGATACTTTACGTAGTAAATAACTTATAATATTTAATGAAAATACTGTGTGATAGTATGATAATTATGTATAACTGTTATACGATAATTCTTGATGAAAATACTGTGTGACAGTATGATAATTGTTTATAACTGGTATACAATGAGGTTATTCAGACGTCCTGTGGAACACAAAAAAATTAATAAAAATGTTCAATCAATGGTAAGAATGATAATATTAATATTACGGATTGTCAAGGCGTATTACAAATAAATCAATACAAATACTCACACACACACACACACACGAGAACACAATAATTCTCAGAAAATTTGTCAGTTGACAAATAAACAGAAAATTTGTCAGTTGACAAATAAAATAAGTTAATTGAAATAACGAAAAAATACGATGCACAGCTAAGAACAACAAATTCAGTCGATATTATACAACTTGATCTAATGATTTAAAGAATTCATTCAAAGAATTTAATAACAATAACATCAGCTATGGATGAGTACTAAATAATAACAATAACATCAGCTATGGATGAGTACTAAATAATGGCGTATTGTTATTTTCCGACTTATTAATCATTGACTATAAGATTATTCTACAGAGGGCCTTTCGATTGAAATTACATTATTGTTTCATGTGTACGATACCTTAAGGTGCAATTTCATGCTGACGCTTGACGCTGCATTAATTTAAGATGGCGCTCCACTCGAAATTATCTACCCCTTGTGTACATTTTTGACGCTCTAAGCCAGCGTCAAGTGTCAGCATGAAATTGCACGTTTACTTATATATAATCATAACAAATGATGAAGTTAAATCAATTGAAAATCATTCAGAAACATTACCATAATATTATTGTTTTTATTAAAAAATACGGTGCATAATAAAAGCGGTTATCATTTTTTAAACTGAAAATGCATTTTTTCTGCGCCGCTCAACTTTTAACGCATGCGCACTCTTAGAAGATCCCAACAGAGATTTGAAGGACGGTTAGATGATAGCGTAGTTTGTATCCATCGACTGCTAGCACAAATATTATTATTTATTATTATTATTATAATACTTATTATTATTATTATTTTCTTATAAATATATTATACTTTTACTTTATTATATATATTATATGTACTTAATTATTATACTTAGTTATACTTATAATTATATTACTATTATTATTATTATACCGTGAAAATATTGGTCCTATGAAAAAAAGTTTGCAACAAAAATTGTTCAAAGTTTAATTTTATAAAAAAAAAGTCACTTATAAATTTTTGTTAGGACAAATAGGAAAGCCGTAAATTTAAGATAACGATTTGTCTTATCAGCTGAGATGTCTTTTGTTGATTAAGACACTAAAATTTAAATTTACCGTGAAAATATTGGTCCTATGAAAAAAATTTAGTAACAAAAGTTGTTCAAAATTTAATTTTACAAAAAAAAAGTCACTTATAAATTTTTGTTAGGACCAATAAGAAAGCCGTAAATTTAAGATAATGATTTGTCTTATCAGCTGAGATGTCTTTTGTTGATTAAGACACTGAAATTTAAAATTACCGTAAAAATATTAGTTGTATGAAAAAGTTAAGATGAAAATCTTGATCTTAATTATCATTACTACTAACAATAAATAATAGTATCTTAACAGTTATATCGGCCCTCGGATCATATAAATGTTTCGGAACTGACAAATGACAAGTTTTATAGAAACCAAACATTTTTTATTTTATATTATTTTGTTTAACACTTACAACATTCAATGTTATAGAAAAATACAATATAAGTAATATAAATTTAAATAAATAATTAACCCGACAGTTATTGTCCTGAAAAGATACATCGATTAATGACATTATTTATTAATTATATTAGAATTACGACTCTTAATCACACCTTACTGTAATATTTCTTATTTGACTAATTATATTGATCACTTTTCTTATATATTAATCAGTCGTTTGACACAATTATTCAACTTAATAAGAATGTTATTACTTCTATTATTATTTATCATCATAACTATCAAATAATCAGGTCAGGTTTTTTTTCAACATCACGAAATTGGACGAACTTAACATTCTATTATAATCTATTATAAATATATCAGGTTAAACCAGTTTCGGTAACCGAAGGCAAGAAATCTATCTATCTTAATTAAAAATGAACTTAAATAATTTTTAAATTTAAAAAACCATACATATGCAATACGTTTGACACAATTATTTAACTGCATAAGAGTGTTCTTACTTTTATCATTGTTAATCGTAATTAATAAATAAATCAGGTCAGGTTTTATTTCGACATCACAAAGTTAAACAAACTAAACATTCTATTATAATAATATCACGTTAAACCTGTTTTGATAGCGAAAAGCAGAAAATTTTTCTTAAAAATGAACTAAAATAATTTTTATATTGATATTGAACAACCATGCGTATTCAATACTTTTTTTAACTAACCAAAATCTTGATCAAAAATATAAAAAATTGAAATGAGTGTGAATTAAGCCAACATTAATACATTTTTTAACATTTAAATAATAAAAAAAATTGAAATAAAAAAATGCTTATTAAGGAAATCTAAAACTGAGTACATTTTTTAAAATGTATAATTTTTCTTTATACATTTTATTAATTATAGAAAATGTATTAACGTTGGCTAAATTCACATTCATAAATATCAAATTTAAAAAAATCAAAAAAAATTACTTCAAATTAAAATTATAAAAAAAAAAAATCGTCAGCGAATCGCGTGACATTAAGTTTATCCCGTTTTCTTTAACTTTTGTTTTTCCTCCTCCTCCCAGTCAAATTTCCTCTTATTTGGAGGACGCCGTCCCATTGGACTGAGTACTGTAGACGCCAACACCTTGACATCACTACAAATCTTGATGTCCTCCATCGAGTCCACTGTCAGTAATGGGGGTCCTTCTAATTGAATATAGAAATAGAATACATTAGAATAGAATAAATGAGAATGAATATGAAATGAGAATAAAATAGAAATTAAAGAGGGAAGAAATGTTGATGAAATGATAAAAGTAAGTCGATAAGATAATCTTACTGTCACTTGCAACAGTTACACCGGTAATCTTGAGGAAAGTTCCCTGAGGAATTTTTGGAGATGAGTCGCTGAACTTTGTGATCCTAACCTGCAACTTCGTCTCGCCATCGACCACAACACCCGCACCAATAATCGACCCATATGATTTGATAGGCTCGAATTCTTGTTTTAAATACCCTTGAACACCTGACAAATGAAAAAAATAAATTAATAATAAAAAATAAAAGCTTAACGAACAGTTGTTCGGAATTTAATTATATAAAAAAAAAAAGTCACTTGTAAATTTTTGTTAGGACCAATAGAAAAGCCATAGTAACAGGATAATGATTCGTGTAATCAGCTAAAAATACGAAATACTTACAAACATTTGCACTAAGGTCCTTCAAGTAATTGATGGGAAGGTGGAAAATCACAATGGGTGCAGTCTCAATAATGAACTTCTCATCAAGGATAGTTATCTTTGAAGATGACGTGACAGTGACTTCCAGCCTGAAGATGCGATGATGCGGATTATTGAACTCTGGATTTCCCGCTGTTACTTTTCCCCGTTTAATCTCGAGAATCTGAAATCAATTTCACGTTTATTACAATAATTAATAATAAGTATAATACTATTTATATATATAATCGTGATAAAATATTATAAATAAATTAATTTACCGTTCTGTCATGGATAATTGATGAATATTTCGTTGCTTCAGCGCCCCAGAACACCGCACGTATACGTCTTTGGCTACCGGTATTAATCAGAATCTTGGAAAATGGTGTAGGCTTCGCCAACGGAAATTTTTTGGATTCCACCATTTTTGTACCTTCAATGACATCCACGTATCCTTTCAGCTCACTGAAAATAAAAAAAAAAAATTAGATACATAAAATTTATGCCCAACACGAAAGTATTCATTCCGATTAAGATTATTAAATAAATCATTCCTATTGTTTTCATTATTTTCTTAATTTTTATTATTATATATATTGTAATGTATTATTATCATCATAATTTTTATTTTTATCATAAAAAAGAAAATAAAATAACAATAACAACATTAATAAGACAAATGACAAACACGTGCTCACAAATTAGCATTTTATCTATTAAATAAATTATAATAAATAAAAAATACTTACACATTCTCATCTCCAATGACCCATTCGTCAATTTCGCCGTCATCGGTGAAAGAGGACATTATAGATTCCATAGACATGTTCAGATTTATTTCTAACACAATTAATTTTAAAAATAATTCACTTCAAATCGGGAGGAGATGGTCGTCCGACGACGGTACGAGGAAAAAGAAAGATTGGACTAAAGGTGCAATTTCATGCTGACGCTTGACGCTGGCTCGAGTGGAGCGCCATCTTTTCAATTAATACAGCGTCAAAACTAAACATTGCTTAGTTCGTAAGAACCAGCGTCAAGCGTCAGCCTAAAATAGCACCTTTAGGCTTCTGTGTCATGTTCCATTTCAATTAGCTCCACCTAGTGGAGTTGAATACTGAAGTATCCAGTTGAATACCGAACTATATGAGACTCCACCTAGTGAGAATCAATGTAAATAATATAAATCTTTAAAAGGAGAAATTAATGTTTAGACTATATTCACTTTTAATACTTGTAGTAAGAGTAAAATAGCTAATCATTAAAGTATTATATTTAATTATTAAATCTATTATCATAAATAAATAAATAATTATTATATAATAAAAATTAATTTAATTTATTTAGTATGGTGATAGCATATATAACTTTCAAAGTTTAAATTTAAAAAAATTCATATATATTTATTTCGGTTGAATTTGAATCGACCGCTTTCAATCAGATATACTCAGTGCGCTATTATAGCGGCTTACTGTGTTTATATTATTTTATTTTATATTTTGTATATATTATTTTATATTTTGTATTTTTATAATTTATATTTTACGATTTGTCTTATGGGCTAAAATTTCATTTGTTGATTATATTATTTTATATTTTGTATTTTTGTAATTTATATTTTACGATTTGTCTTATGGGCTAAAATTTCATTTGTTGATTAAGTCACTTAATTTTAAAATTACCGTGAAAATATTGGTCCTATGAAAAAAATTCTAAAATAAAAGTTGTTCAAAATTTAATTTTATAAAAAAAAGGTCACCTACAAATTTTTGTTAGGACCAATAGGAAAGCCGCAATTGTAAGGTATCGATTTGTCTTATAGGCTAAAATTTCGTTTATTGATTAAGTCACTTAATTTTAATCATATTACCGTGAAAATATTGGTCTTATGAAAAAAATTTTAAAACGAAAGTTGATCAAAATTTAATTTTATGAAAAAAGTGTTGCTTATTATTTTATGCTATAGCCATTAGGAAAGCCGTACTTTTAAAATGAGCATTCTCACATTTAGCTTAAGTTCGAGTGTTACATAAAAAATATAATAGGAGCCAGTCATTATTGAATAAATCAAGTTTCCTACGTCTTCAATTGAATAACTTCTTTTATAAAAATTTAAAATAAATTATCAAAATGACCTTTAGTATTATTTATATTTTTTATTATTATATTACATTGATAATTGAAATTGAAAATTAACGTTGACTGCATTCACTGTCATCACTTGTAATAATAATTATATTATAATATTATAACGTCAAAGTTTAAATTAAAAAAATGAATGAAAAAATAAATACATAAATATTTCGGTTTCATTTGAATTTACCGCTTTTAAATTTGGAATATTCGATTAGAGATATTCAGTGCGCTACTGTAGCGGCGTATAATGTGTTTACAACAATTTTACAATGCAAGTGGTACCTTAAGTATATAAAAACATAAAGGTGCACTGTTATGTTTAGGTTATGTACATGTAAAATTCATTTGCATATATTTTTGTGTCGTTTATGTATAGTATAATTATTTTTAACCAATCAGGTTAAGAATAGTTTCCAACACATATTTGTGATACATTTCATGTAAATTTTATTAAGGGATCCCAAATAATCGGGTTTTTTCATGCCCTGAAATTTTTTTTCGGTCTCATAAAGTGACAGGTTTCTACCTGAGTCATCTTACGCCCCTCTCATCATTTATAGAACCTATTTTGACCTTGGATAAAGTTCAAAAAAAGAAAAAAGTAGGTCGAACCCTAGTAAAATTGAATATGGCCCCAAAAATCAGGTTTTTTCATTCTCTGAAATTCTTTTATGGCCGTTGTACCGTTCTCAAGCTTACGAAACCTTAGGGACGAAGTTCCAAAATCGACCTTTCTCGACGTAAATCGTTTAAAAATGAAATTTCCTAATTTATGATAATTAACGTCTTATTCATGTTCAGGTCGTCAAATTTAAGCTATCTAGACCATACCTTATCTTACGATACCTATATCGACAAAGTTACAAAATCTACCGTTCTCTTCGTGAAATGTTCAAAAATGGAACTTTGTAATTTATGATATCAAGGTCATAGTCATCTTTAAGACCTTAAATAAAAGCTATAAAGATCTTTTCTAAGCTTACGAAACCGTTAGGGACGAAGTTACAAAATTGACCTATCTTGCAGTAGAACGATTCAAAATGATACCACGTAATTTATGAAAATTAAGGTCATGATCGCATTCAGGACGTCAAATACAAGCTATTTGGACCGTTCTCAAGCTTACAAAACCCTTAGGGACAAGGTTCCAAAATCGACCTTTCTCGACGTAAATCTTTTAATATTTAAATTTTTTAATTTATCATATTTAAGGTCTTCGTCATCTTCAGGACGTCAAATTAGAGCTATCTGGACCATTCCTTATCTTACGAAACCCATATCGACAAAGTTAAAAAATCGACCGTTTTCGACGTGAAATTTTCAAAAATAGAACTTTGTAATTTATGATGTTAAGGTCATTGTCGTCTTTAAGACCTCAAATAAAAGCTATATAGATCTTTCCTAAGCTTACGAAACCGATAGGGACGAAGTTACAAAATTGACCTATCTTGCCGTAGAACGATTGAAAATGATACCTCTTAATTAATAATAATTAAGATCATAAACGTCATCAGGACGTCAGAGAAAAGTCATCTGAACCATTTCTGAGCTTACGAAACCGATAGGGACAAATTTACTAAATCAACCGTTCTGGTCGTTAAACGTATAAAAATGAAATTTCTTATTTTATTATAATAAGGGTCATTGCAGTTTTCAGGACGTCAAATACTAGCTATCTAGACTATTTCTAAGCTAACAAAACGCCTAAGAACGAATTTACCAATGAGACCGTTATCGTAGTGATATGATCAAAAATGAAACTTCATAATTTATTATAATTAAGGTGATAGTCGTATTCAGGACGTCAAATAAAAGCTAACTGTACCGATCCTGAGCTTACGAAACCCATAGGGACGAAGTTACCAAATCAACCCATCTCGTCGTGAAACGTTTAAAAGTCTAATTTATTATAATTAAGGTTATAGTCGCCTTCATGACGTTAAATCTAAGAAATCTAGAACATTTCCGAGCTTAAGAACCCCATCGGGACGAAGTTACAGAATTTAGCGTTCTCTTCGTGAAACGTTTGAAAATTTTACTTTTTATTTTAAGAAAATCAAGGTCATAATTGTCTTCAGGACGTCAAACACAAGCTATCTAAGACTATTTCTAAGCTAACAAAACCGATAGGAACGAAGTTACTATATCGACCGTTCTGACCGTGAAACGTTCAAAAATGGAACTTCCTAATTTATGATAATTGAGGTCATAGTCGGCTTCAGGACGTAGAGTACAAGTTATTTGGACCGTGCTCAAGCTTACAAAACCCATAGGGACAAGGTTCCAAAATCGACCTTTCTCGACGTAAATCTTTTAAAAATTAAATTTCCTAATTTATCATATTCAAGGTCTTAGTCATCTTCAGGACGTCAAATTAGAGCTATCTGGACCATTCCTTATCTTACGAAAACCATATCGACGAAGTTTTAAAATCGACCGTTCTTGACATGAAATGTTCAAAAATAGAACTTTGTTATTTATGATAGCAAGGCCATAGTCGTCTTTAGGATGTCAAATAAAAGCTATATGCATCATTCCTAAGCTTACGAAACCGATAGGGACAAAGTTACAAAATCGACCTATCTTGCCGTAAAACGATTTAAAATGATGCCTCGTAATTTATAAAAATTAAGGTCATAATCGTCATCAGGACGTCAAATAAAAGCTATCTGTACCATTTCTGAGCTAACGAAACCGATGGGGACGAAATTACTAAATCAAACGGTCTGGTCGTTAAACGTTTAAAAATGAAATTTCTTAGTTTATTTTAATTAAGGTCATCGCGGTTTTCAGGACGTCAAATACAAGCTATCTAATACTATTTCTGAGCTAACAAAACCCATAGGAACGAATTTACAAATTAGACCGTTCACGTAGTGATACGATCAAAAATAAAACTTCATAATTTATTATAATTAAGGAGATAGTCGTCTTCAGGAGGTGAAATACAAGCTATCTGTACCGATCCTGAGCATACGAAACCTATAGGGACGAAGTTACTAAATCGACCGTTCTGGCCGTGAAACGTTAAAAAATGGAACTTTCTAAATTATGATATCAAAATGATAGTCGTCTTTAGTACGTCGAATACAAGCTATTTGTACCGTTCTCAAGCTTACGATACCTTATGGACGAAGTTCCAAAATCGACCTTTCTCGACGTAAATCGTTTGAAAATGAAATTTGCTAATTTATAATAATTAACGTCTTATTCATGTTCAGGTCGACAAATTTAAGCTATCTGGACCATTCCTTATCTTACGAAACCCATTTCGACAAAGTTACAAAATCGACCGTTCTCGTCGTGAAATGTTCAAAAATGGAACTTTGCAATTTATGATATCAAGGTCATAGTCGTCTTTAGGACGTCAAATAAAAGCTATAAAGATCATTCCTAAGCTTACGAAACCGTTAGTGACGAAGTTACAAAATTGAGCTATCTTGCCGTAGAACGATTGAAAATGATACCTCGTAATTTATAAAAATTAAGGTCATAATCGTCATCAGGACGTCAAATAAAAGCTATATGTACCGATCCTGAGCTTACGAAACCTATAGGGACGAAGTTACTAAATCGACCGTTCTGGCCGTGAAACGTTTAAAAATGGAACTTCCTAATTTACGATATCAAAATAATAGTCGTCTTTAGGACTTCGAATACAAGCTATTTGTACTGTTCTCAAGCTTACGAAACCTTAGGGACGAATTTACAAAATCGACCGTT